CTTATTGGATTTTATTTCTTAGGTAGTAGTCACCTTATCTTACGATTAGGAAGCAATCATTGTAGAAGTTCAATGAGTACTACTTAATTGAAGTCATAAAGTGTGTCTCGGAAATAGACAGGAAATGTCATCTCTTCTGTTTGAAAGAAGACAGGGGTCATCTAACTCTTTTATATATTCTTCACTGAGAAAAGATGACCCAGAAAGTCTTGTGAAGTTGTCATCTAATTTTTAAAATCATTCATTAAGCTATTAATATTTTTTAAAAACCCAGATCTTTGAAAACTACAGGTAATTGACCTGGTTATTTAGATTTTTTGTCAGTATTAACAGGAGATGATTTCTAAGGAGAAATTTAAAAAAGCAAAAAGCTTTCTCCTGTGTTATTTCTGGAGACTGAACACCCAACATTACTCGAAGCTGTTGCACATGAGTCAACTGTGATATTTAAATACAAGAGTATAGCTTGTTTGTTTTCCTCTATAGCAGTGATTGAGATCTGATGATCCTTTGAAAACTGTGGGCTCTTTCCCATAAGAGTTTCACGTCTGCACCACGTTTTATGAACTGTGTCAAGGGAATCAGGATTTACTACTGCATTTTGATTCGGACCTAGAACTTGGGAGAAACAACGGAGATAAATAAGAGTCTTGACAAGGATGTACAAGCCACCACTGATTTAATGACATTTGGGGACCTCAATGACATTTGAAGATTCAGAGGTTTTTAGATCCATGACCTAGAGAGGGAGTTAAATATTCTGAGTTAAGTATTTCTCCTGAGTCCAGATACCTGCAGGGTATAGTATGCAGCCAGTGCCTGTCTGGTTTGCAAAGACTTTTTCTTGGCAGAGTATCCAGCATTTTTGCATGCTGTTCCCTTATACTCCACCCTCTCCTAGTGTCACTGAATATGGTCACTTCTTAAGACATTAAAAAAAAAAAAGTAAGTGCCTCCCCCCCCAATAAAGTGAGCTCATGATCAAGTGACTTGTCTTCGCAGTTTAATGCATTTTACAATCTGGGATAGCATCGACCTCTTTGAACACCAAAATACGAAGTTATTTGGGATAATTTAGCCTTTGGTAAAATTTTCCACCCATTAGGTTCTACTTTATTTGTTTTTGCCCTGAACTTATTTTACTAGAATAGATTTGTTTTCAAAATCTGTAACCTTAGTTACTTATCCATTTAACCTACAAACAGGATAACTTCCCTGGAATCTAAATAGATACTTCCCTGGAATCTAAACCACATTTCTGTTTTTTAACTTCCAGTCTCTATATAAATATTGGACACATGCTCACCACTTTCCCAGTGGTCTTCCAAACTGCTTCCTGTCTTTGTTCTCTCCTTGCTACTGTCCATCCTTCCAGACTAATCTTCCTAAGTTTGCTGTCCTGTTCCCTCTTAAACTAAACATTCAGTGTAGCCCTCCTCCTTCCACAAGAAGTTAAATCAGACTGATTTTGAGTAATTATCTAGTGCACCCTCTTCATTTTACAGACGAGAAGTAGAAGTTCCCCAGAGAGGAAGTGACATCCTGAAGGCAGAAGTGACTTGCTGTATTTGTAGGTTCTGGTGGGAGACCTTGCCCCACTGAAACTTCACAGCCTCCCATTGGGCCTCCTGAGCCAGACACTCAGGTCCCTCTCTAGTGTGGCTTCCCAGTGTATTTCCTGCCCTCTTATCTGCAGAAGCCTGATTTTTCTGTCCCTGGTCTACCAAAGACACCATGTGCATTCCCATTTCTTTGTCTTTGCCTATGACCCTTCCTCTCTCTAGTCTGATGCCCCACTCCCTTGCTTCGAACTCACTCCCATGCCATGCTGAAGCACTAATATTTAAAATGTGGTATTTGATTCTTATTTGGTCTTTATAAATCCACTAGTTAGACTCTATTATGATTTCCACTTTACACATGTAGAAATTGAAGCTAAAGTAGATTTACTTGCCCAAGACGTCTGAGTTTGCATGCAGCAGGGCCTGAATCCAACCTGAGCCATGTTTCCCCAGAATTTGTGCTATGACTCCTCCAACAACTAACTTTCTCAAAGGAACATCTTCCAAGTTTCAGACCAAAGGCTCCCTCTGCTCAGAGAAGCTGAATTTATTGCAAGGTTATCTGTGTTTTCTGAATGCTATTCAACATACCATAATGCTTAGAAAGTAACATAATTCATGAACTGACCATAAAAATCTACAACTTGACTTCCTAAATCTTCTTTCAAATGTGGAGAGGAACCAGTGCAAGCCAAGAGTCATGAAAGGGTGAGAGAACTGTGTTGAGACCAGCCCACAGAGCCAGGATTTGCATCCTCCCTCCACCAGGAACTCTTGGTGCCTGTAACCTTGAGGTGCCAGTTAACCTCTCTGAGCCTCCATGTCTTCGTCTATAAAACAGGCTTAATGATATATATCTCATGGGGTTGTCGTAGAGACTGTATATGAAAACTTTTTTATTAATTGTAAAGCATTTTTCAAAAGTACCATTATTTTTCAGTCCCATCAGAAACTAAATATCATTAAATCCATTTAATGCAAAAATTATTATTATACACCTTCCAAGTGGTAAGGTGTAGCGATTTCAGTGCGTTGGTCAGATAACTTTTTGAACCAATTTTTTTATATATAAGTTAAGAAAGTGGAATTTTCCAATATATCCCTTACATTTTCTCTGCTCTTTAGGTGTATATACTCAGATCCCTATTTCCTGAATACTAATTTGATTGGTTCTATATTTTTTCACTATGTAAGTTATGTAAAAGAAGGGCCAGATTGTCAAGCAACTTGTATACAGAACAGCTGCCACTTCTTGCCACGTCTCTCTATCTGGAATGGCTTTAATTTACATCATTGGTTCATATGAAAAAATGTTGCTGTTCAGTCTGATTCTAGCTTCTACACCTGCAAAGGTGTCAGCTGTGTCTTTGCAACCAGAGCTTATATAAGGTGACTAAGTCATTTTTTTTTTAAAGATGGGGATGAAGGTTCAAAAAATCCCAAAGAAGTTATGGAAGCACTGTGGGAGAGGAAGAAAATTAAGTGTAAAAAGCAAGAGTGTAACTCCTAAATTAAAAATTGAAAATACCACCTTCTGTGGCAGCCCAGACATGTTTTCAATAAGCAGCAAGGCATCCGCTATATTATTAATTTATTGGAGGAAGGTGTGAGGAGGGGTGATGGTGAGCCTCATAAGTGGAAAATGCCCAGGACAAATGTGCAGAAAGTAGATGAAAATGTGTAGTGGAGCCAAGAGCCAAGGAAGGCTTTGCTGTCAGAGACCCCAGTTCTAGTGTAGACTTAACATGCAGTAGCTGTGTGACCTTAGTAAAGTTCCTTAACCTCTCTGAGTCTCAAGTTGTTCATTTGTGAAATACAGATAATATGTCACAGGGATCTGAGGATGGGATGGGATCATGCAACATGAGCCCTTAGTGAGCACAGTGCCTGACACAGTAAATATGTGGTAAGTGCTAGGCTCGAGGCTGAGATGGGTGTGTGAAGAGGTACCACTGGAGGCAGAATGGTGTGCACAGTGGAATCACAGCGGAATCAGTTACTACCTTGGCTCCCCTTCGACTACATATTTTCGATCTGCAGTTGAGAATCTATGTATTTGGAGGGCTGCCCAGTAGTTAAACATGAATTTCAACCTCATGAGGGTCGACACCTGTAACCCTTGCATTGTTCAAGGGTCAACTGTACTTACGCCTTTGCCTGGATTCTTTTCTCACCAAATTGTTCTCAGATTCTAGAAGCTATTGGCAATGCCAAGAAGAAACACGGATCGTCTTATGGGAGACTTGTCAGAGATGACCTAGACCAGCAAACATGTATAAGACCCCAGCTTACTATGGGGAACAGTAAAGATTTTAGAGACAGGCTGAGGGGAAGATCAGTCTGCAGAAGCAGGGTAGATCCATTGAAGATGTAATAGTGCAAAACCACTTTTTACATTGTATGTAGTTTTAAGACCCAATGGGCTAAATCAATTGTCAGCTGTATTATTCGGATGGAAGTCTGAACAGTGCTAGAGGGTGGGATAGCAGAGCTGGAGCTACATGTAAGAAAGGATATGAGAGAAGCTAGAACTCTGTGTGCTTGGAAGTCATTTGCCAGTGTAGCTCTCAGTGTGGACTGTTTATGATGCGTTTGGACACATTCCCTTATCTCAGCTCTTGACCATTTTACACGGGCACCTTTATCTCCATTTTACAGACGAGAGATACCAAAGTACAGCGTTTAGATTTGTTTCAATTCCAAATCAGGCACTTGTTCAGTTTATGCCACAGTGACTGATGGAAATGTGTTAGATCTATTTTTAAAGCCTTTCAAAGAAACTGGGTAGATATTTGAGGCATCTCAGATGTTCAACCCTAGGTAAATGGATTAAGTTATATCACAGAATTAGACTTCTGTAAATTACTTAAGTTTATAAAGCATCTTCATCCCATAAGTAGCATTCTTTTGAAGTTTTGCTGACATTTTTTTCTAAGAAGAACATTGGACAGTAGCTCAAACATGAGCGCTCGGCAGAGCCGCCTGGGGACTTGTGAAGTAAGGTTCTGTGGGTCTGGTGTGACGGAGAATTTGCGTTCCCAGCAGGTTCCCTAGTGATGCTGATAGTACACCATGAACAACTGACAAGAAAAATATATCGTGTTCCTGATTCCATGGAGGAACGAGTAGGAAAATAGCCCTGGAAGGGAATTCCAAAACCGCAGATGGAAATTGCAATTCAGATCACTCTTCTAAAACTCCCATGACTGAATTTGGAGTCCAAAAATTTGTTTTATCCCTTTATTTTTGGAGATTGCCTTTGATTACAAAGGGAAATCAAGAATGGAAAATCATTATATGTGTAAATATTGAAATTCTGTGTAACTTAAGAACATAACAGGTTTGTATGTGTTTTTTTCCAAACCACTGGAAACATTAATTGCCATGTATGGATTTTCTTAAAGTATTTTTTTCCTTTTTTTTTTTTTGTCTTTGCAGGTGGCAAATCTTCCAAAAGACTATAGGATAAACCTCAAGTATGTCCCCGGGATGGACATTTTGGTATGTAGACTGTTTATTTCTGAGTTTCATTTTAGTAGCTAATAAAAACAGATGGTATCATCTTATTGAGATAGAAAATTATCTGATGTTTAGAAGTTTGCTAATTGTCTCCTAAACCTGTACTTCCAAAGGGAATAACACCATCTTCCTAGCCACAAATTTCTCTTTTTCATTTAGCCTCTCCCCAAAAAGGCTTGAGTGTAAAATTATGTAAACTCTTTTTATACTTGCAAAGGTCCTATATACGTCTCTTTACTATTTAATTCGAGAACACAGAATATTTTACCTCAGAATTTATTAGCAGTGTGATAGAGTCTTAGAACCTTACAATAAAAATATGAGGTTATGATTATAAATACCCCTTTGTTACTGCAACCAAGAAATTTAAATTATTTTTCATTACATAGTATCAGAATTCATATATGAAGAAATATTTCAAGCATAGGAAATGTAATGCCTGTGTACCCATCACATAGCTTGTCAAACCTTACCACTATGCAATATTTGCTTCAAGTATATTTTTTAATAATGAAACATTATAACTAAATCACCTGTATTCCCTTTCCCTCTCTCCATTAGTTCCCACTTTGTCTCTTAGGGACAGTTCATCTCTTAGGAACAAGCATTCTGAGCTGTAATATTTTATTGCAAGGCATATTTTTAGGACTTGGCTGAGGACAGCCTCTCCTGGAGCTGTGTGGAGCAGAGCAGCGCGCACTATCCCTCAGGCTCTTAGAGTTTTACTGCAAACCTGCATCGATTCATAAGACATTAATTTTTTTGCATATTTTCATATTTTATGTTAATGCAATTGTACTGCATATACCACTCTGCAACTTGCTTCTGTTGCAACCTGCCTTTGAGATATCACATGTTGCTCCATGTGGATTCATTTTAACTGCTATGCTGTGTTGAGCTCATTGGAAACCAGCTGAGTTACTCTCCTCTGCAAGTAGACATCTTTTCATCATTTAACAAATACTTACTACACATCCACCTGGTGTAAATTGTCTGAGGCTCTGAGTAATTTCTGTGGATGAGTCAATCAAGATCATTACCAGTTTAAGTGTGTTAAGCACATCACTAAGTGCCTGTGCTTAAAAAGTGTTTCAGAGACTGCAAGGTTATCATTTCAAGAGAAGGTCAAAGGCGTATTTCTTTTCATTAGCAAAGTAAGCCTTTTAGCATGAACTGTCTAACGTTCCTTAGGACCCCTTTGAACATGTATCTTCATGTTGAACCAGTCACCCTTGAGTCTAGGTCAGCCTGTCCTGAATTAGGGGGAGTTCTCTGGAAATAGGAATGTAAAACCACAGCTTCCCGAATGTTAATTTACCTAATCGTTCAGTCTCTCAGACAGCAAGTATTTGTTTAGGAAAAACTATGGCAACAGCTCTTTACCAGACACTTTAAGAAACAAACACATGTCAACTCAGCCTTATGTACAAAACCTTTAATAATAACTGGGGAGAAATGACCTGGCCCTTTTCAAAATGATTTCACCTATTTGCCTCCTTGGGTGATTAGAAAAATCCTGCGAGGGAAGCAGCAGGATAGCTAAGGCGACTCCTATTTTACAAGCGGCACACTGAGGTTTACAACCCAGAAGTATTTTGCCCAAAGTTACACAAGTAGAGAGTGACCATCTTAAAAGGAAGCCCCAGGTCATGTGCCTTACCCCCGGGTTACAGAAAGTGGTTATCTAAATAATGCCACTGGTGAGGGAAAGTGTCCTCAGGGAAGCATCCAAGTGGTAAAGATGCACCTGCCCCGACCGGAGAAGCCCTTAGGGTCTCTGATTGCCAAACTCAATCAAAACCTCGCTCGGTTCTTTGAAAAATAAGGTTCGTCTGAGAATAACGGAATAGATTATTGTGTACTCGTATAATCATAGATTGAGCTAAATCACACATTTCTGTATTGGCTAGTGGAAGCAAGAGCCAAACTTGTAAAAGTAAAGCCAGCTCATTGCCACATGTTTTCTTTTTGTTTCTGTAATTGAGAAAAGTCCACTATTATTTGATCTTGGCACACTATCCTGGCATAACTGGAGGAACTCTGTTCTTGGCTACCACAGTTGGCAAGGAAAACAAGCCCGCACAGAGGGCTTTGGGCAGAAACCGGTCTGAAGCTTTCTTTTACCTTCACTTTAAAACGATAGTTTCTGCCAAGATCAGAGGAGTTTCCCAGTGGACAGGCCCCTGATTATTTGTCAGTGGTCAGAGTCCCAGCTGCCTTATCTTTTGTGTTTAAACAATAAAGGGTGGAGTGGGAGTCAAACTGGGCACCAGAATACTTCTCTGGGGCCAAAGCAATAAAATTCTGCCTGAGGCGCTGGGCAGAAGAAAGCTCTAGAATAGAATACAGGGGAGGTTTTTTTTGGTTTTGTTTTTAAAATCAGATAAATACACCTGAAAAGGAGAGGCTATTTTTCTAAGGCCATTCCTAGAAAATTACCTAGCAGGCTCTCTCTCACAAATAACAGGGTATGATCAACATCAGCTGGTTGATAATTTAAATCTAAGGATAATTACCAATTCTATTTTAAACTTCCTCAAGCCGCAGTATTGCCAGACTTAAGATTTCCTTTAAGTTCCTAACCTTAAATGTCCTAAACATTTCTGAGCCTTTCCATTTAATAGTAATGCTACAGTAGAAAGAACAAAAATTAAGTTGCTGAATTTGTGCCACACATCTTCAGTCATTTTCATGTCTATAAAATGATTTAAACTATGAGTCGCATATGGTGTTTGAGTAAAAAATTCTTTATCAGTTTTTAATTAAAGTAAGTTATGTATTCATCAGTTTTCTTTTAACTTTTTATTTGGGAATGATTTCAAATTTACAGAAAAGTTTGTAAGACTGTTCAAAGAACACCCATATACTCTTTAATCCAGATTCATCTATTTTTAACATTTTGCCTTGTTTGCTTTGCTAAATGCTTGCTTTCTTTGCACACATGTGTGTTTTCTTATTTTTCTAAACCTGTTGAGTAAGTTGTATATGTAATGTCTGTTCACCCCTAGATACTTCAGTGTGTATTTCCTAAGTAAATGATTTTCTTTTATATAACCATAGTGTAAGTTGTCAGCTTCAGGAAGTTTAGGATTAACAAGAATACTTCAATCTACTGGCTGTATTTCAATTATTAACAACACTTTGGGGGGGGAGCATTTCTTTTCTTCCAGTACAAGAACCAATCTAGGATCATGATTTGCATTTTTATATCAAGTGTCATAGGCAGAATGGTGGCTCCCCAAACAAGTCTCCTGCTGTGAATATAGTATTATTACCTGACAAGGCAAAAGGGATCTTGCAGATGTAATTAAGTTAAGGATTTTCAGATGAGGAGAGTATCTTGCACTATCCAGGTGGGCCCAATGTAATCACTGGAATCACTATAAGAGGGAGGCAGCAGTGTCAGAGCCAGAGAGAGTGACTTGGAGGCGTTACACAGCTGGTTGTGAAGGTGGAGGAAGGGGCCACAAGCCAAGCCAAGGCAGATGGCCTCTAAAAGCCAGAAGTGGCAAGGAAGGGGACTTTCCTGTAGAGCCTCTAAAAGAAACACAGCCCCACTGAACACCTTGATTTGCACCTACTAATACCTATTTGGACTCCTGACCTCAGGGACTATAAAATAATAAACTTGTTTTCAGGGCACTAAGTTCATGGAAACTAATACATCATGTCTCTTTAGTCTCCTTTAAGAGCTCCTTAGCCTTTCTTGGTATTTATGAGAGTGAAATGTTTTCAGCAATGCAGCCCTCCCCTTTAAATAGAACGTTTCTCTCCAAAACATTTGATGTTTCTCAATGGTTATATTCAGATTATGCATTCCAAGCCTCTATGCGACATAAGTGATGATGTCCTCAGGTTATCACACCTGGAGGCACACGGTTTCCAGCTCCCCCTCCCGGTGCTGTTTGTTTTGATCACCTGGTGAAGGTGTTCCGCTGTTTCTGTGTATTTACTCACAAACGACTACCCAGCAATCTTTGGGGAGGCACCTTCACACTGTGTACAATTCATCAAAGCTCCTCCCATAAATTTAGCATCTATTAGAGCTGATTCTTACCTGAAGCAGTCTGCACTGTCATGTCAATTTCTAATTAAGTTAAATTAAGCAGGGTTGAGCAAGTCACTGGCAGTCTGTACGCTGCTCCAACCTGTGCCTCCCAGCCATCTTCCCTCCGCAACACCCTTCCCCAGGTATGCATGATTTCACTTCGGGCCGATCCTCGCCTCCTTTGGCCTGGCCCTGCTGCTTCTGGGCCCTTCCCCCCTTCCTGGCCGTTCCAGAAGTCATCCTTGGAGGTTTCGATTTTTTGAATAGACTGATTTTTTTTTTTTTTTTTTTTTAATTCAAGTGATCATTTTACCACTCCTCCTTCATGCACTTTGCATGGCTGCTCGCTGCTTTTGGGGAACAGGAAGGAGAGGTGAGGCGAGGCCCCAGCGCTGTTTGATCTGGCCCCTGTCCACATCCGGCCCGTCCTCGCGCGTTTCCCTGCTGTGCGGGCCCCCTGCGCGTGGCTCTCTCCACTTGCAATCTGGCCTGTCCTCTTATTTAGGTAACTCCTGACTCTCTCAGTATCAGTTTCACTTCTTCAAGGAAGCCTTTCCTCTCCTTGATGAAACTGAATCCTTCCATTAGAAACTCCTTTCCCAGCGCTCCTCAGAGGAGCAGGTTTTCATTTATTTGTGGAATTGTTGAATCGATAACTGTCCACTTGTAAACTTCATGAGGACAGGGAGTGTATGTTTGCTCTCTCATATCCTCACTGCCTAGTAAATGATGGGCATGAACAAAGAGCTGCTGAAAGAAAGGGAAGACGGAAGGAAGGTGGAAAGTTCCCCAACGTGTAATCACTTGTAATTTCCCTGAGGTACAGATTTGACCCGAATAGAATCCACGAGATTCATATGAGATGAGGTGAGTGCCTGTGACTCGCACAGTATCTGCACCGCAGTGTTACTGTTGTTTTCTTTTAGATGGGTGT